ATTTTACAAATTGATCTTCAAAACATGTTATATTATGGGTTTAAAGTGTTTTTCCAAAAAATGGGCCCAAGAGGTTGAGTTTTGATGCATTAGAGTTGAGTTGTGAGCTTGAGGTTCAAATATGAAATTTTCAGAATTTGGACTCACACTCGAGCGGGGAACTCCACACTCGAGCGTACAATCTATGTTGAGCACTCTGCTCAAGCGGGTATAGTGACGCTCGAGCGGGAGATGCGTGTATCCAGTACTTTGCATGTGTTTACAGTCCGCTCGAGCGGGGGAGTGCACGCTCGAGCGGGAACTTGTGTCTCACGCTCGAGCGGGTGTCGAGCGCCCATCGAGCTTAAATTTCGTGCATCCAGTACTTTTACTGTAGTTTACAGTCCGCTCGAGCAGAGTAATACACGCTCGAGCGGAGACCTTTGTCTGCATGTCCGCTCGAGCGGGAAAACCCACGCTCGAGCGGGACCCCTATTTTCTGAAAATTCTGAAAAATGTTTTAAAGTGTATCCTTGCATCCTCATTCCATCCTAGGCATTCCTAGGCCTAGTTTAAGGCATCTTAATGAGGATATTGATGTAGAACCACACCGAGGCAAATTAGGGATTAAGTTATTATTTCCCAACTGTGTAGCTTAGTATGTGTTCATTCTGTAACTGTAGGGTTGGCATCCGAGGACGCTTTAGCTCATCTGTAGCCCAGAACTCTGTGAGTAACAATGACTGTACTGCTTTATGAAATAACACTGTCTACTGAATGAATGTTTGTCCTATTTGTGAACTGTATTCATGGCATCCATAACAATTTACTGTTACTGAACTGTTACTGCTACTGTTACAGAGATCTCTGTCGGTTCTCATGTTTGGAACCATTACTGATGGCCATCATTAACTGCTCGGTCTGTTAAGACTTACTATACTGTTTTGCTATTGAATGTACCACATATGACTATTATAGTTTCTGAATGACTGCTATGGTATGAATTATGAGCCATAAACTGAATGACTGATATACTGATAAATGACTGTTTTCAATACTGAAAGGACATTCATTCTTAACATTTTTACGCATATGTTATTCACTAGGTTTTAGCTTACTGTTTATATATATATGTAGGTGTTCAGGCACCGGACCGGAGTTAGGAGCGTCGGATTAACTCTTGTTTTGTCAAGCCAACTAATGTGCCTCACTGCGAGGTTCCAAGTGCTGCCAAGCTAGGGCTGCTTCGGGGTGTTTTAGATTCCCCCTCTTTTGTCTCTATTTTGTATCGACTGTATAGACTGAATGATATCCGTACTGTACTGTTATGGTAGGGACTTGGTCCCTAACCCGAAGGATTGTATATACTGTTTTGTCCTGAATGTGAATATGTTTTGAAAAGCCTTTTTGCATACAGACTGTCACAGCTCATTAGACATCTTTTAATTACTGTTTTGGCTTTCGCCAGCCCCTATACTCTGTATTACTGTCTTACTATTAAGCAGGCCTTCGATAATCTCAGATTACTGACCGATTACGGTGTTAAACCCATAGGGGCGGGTTTGGGTCGTGACAATGATATATTAAATGGAGGGCCAAGAAGTTAGCCATTGTAGTAATTTGAAAGTTAGTTGATGAAATCAAGAAGTTAAGATCAAATTAAGAACCAAATCTGCCGAGTGGTTCCTATCCAACATGGGATATAGATAATGTTGAGGAAATCATGGGCTTGTTAAGAAAATCATAAGCTTAAGTTATCTTTTTCTTTCATGTGGCTGAGTTTATAAATAGTTTGAGAGAGATACAAAAAAGAGAATAAAATATCAACAACCAATCACACTCATAAATAGTTATTTAGGAGTAGTTATAAGTTAGCTATTTTAGGAGCAGATTAAACTAGTAGTTTTTTTCAATCCCCACGTCTCTTCTTTATGTCGATTGTTGTATTTTTCATTTCTTTGTTCTTATTTGAATTCTTGTAACTGATAACAAGTGACAATTTAATTGAATAAATGCATATTCTTTTTCTGTTCAAATCCTTTTTTACTTAATTACCTCCAGGAAAGTTCTTAATCTATTTAAGGTATAAAATTCAACCACAAAACTTGATATATTTGTGTTTATTAAAATTTATTTAAACCTATTGATCAATTACTGTTGATTAAGTCTAAATCGAATTTTTGCTAACAATATCCAATATCACAAATGCAAACCATTAATGTTGAATAGGATCATTATAAACTCTCCACTTTTATACCATCACATTTTTTTGATTCAAAAAATGGATATGCAGATAGGTTACTCCAACATATCCGTCAGGGAGTATTGCCCCTTAGCACCTACAGCATATCTATAGGGAATCCCACCGCACCTCCGTTGAGGCCGAAGCTTATACCATCATATGCTTGTGAAGGGGTTGAGCGCTCGAATCACCCACACACATATAGGATGTTCTTTAGTGGTCTGGGTTAACCCGAACATAGATAAAACTTTCAAACAAGTTAACCCCAACCCAACCCACATGGTTGTGTGTACAGACCAACTCTGTGGTCCTGTTTGGAAAGTTGATTTTGGATTAAAATAATTAATAAAAAGAAAATAATTTTTAAGAGAAAAGGTCACATTTAAATTATAATTATTTAATTTTTCTCTCATAATCATTAAATCAACTACAAAAAATATATATATATATATATCAACTATCTTCCTAAACACAATTTTTTTAGTCAAGCTAAAATAGTTTAAAAAATTAAATGTCAACTAAAATAGTCTATTCCCAAACCGGGCCACAATACATTATTTTTTTTTCACAATTATGTGATTTTTTTTTGTGTGTTTCTTTTCAGTCATCTTGTTTCATGAGCTTATTATAGACTTGTTTAGTGCAATTTATTATAAATTAAAACTTGATAATTAGTAAGTATAAGCTAAAAATATCATTCTCCCAACTTTCAGATAATCAATTTTTTTCATCTTATTTAAACTATTTCTGCAAAATAAGATATAAGTAGAAACTGCAGACTTTTCAAAAAAAATTATAACTGTAGACATTTCAAAAAATTTATAGATTTTTTTTTATAAACAACTCAGTTAAGGTGCACCAAATAACTATATATCGTTATATTATTTTATGTTCTTGTGGTCCTAATTCATTTGTATATTGACCAATAATAATAATTAATATGCATGGCCACGAAATATTAATTGTGACAATGGAATTTTATCATTTAACGCGTCTTTTTGCTCTTCTGCAATTAAAAACTTTGAAAAATATAATATTGGGTTTGAAAAAGGACATCAATCAATTTTATCCTCTTTTTTTTCTTTTTCTTTTTTCTTTTTTTTTTTTTTTTCTTTTTTTTTTTTTTTTTTTTTTCTTTTTGTGTGAAAAAGACATCAATGAATCTTTGAAAGTGTCTTTTTATATCGAATTGTGTTTAGCCACGGAATTATTTTAAAAATGGGTTGACCAAGCAAAAACAAAGCATGCATAATCTAGAACCCCCATCAAATGACTTTTTGTATCATGTGGTTGATGAACATAGAAAACATAGGGCCTGATCTCGTGTACTCAAGTGCATGGTCAAGAACATCATTATTTTTAGAATGGTATTTTAAGATTCATAAAACACCAAAATATTTATAATGTTAATACATTTTTTTTTATATTTTTCAATAGTAACAATAATCCTAAGGGTTGTTTTGACTATTTGTACGTATTACTAAGTTTTTTTAATTTACAATAAAATTGCAAAGTCTTTTGTATAGATGAAAAGTGAGATGTAAAATACAGGAGTGATTTGGAAAGTTGGTTAAAAGTTAATTTTTTGACTTTTTTATCTTTTTGTAGATAAAAAATGTGAGAAGTGATATAACCCAAAATCAGTTAAAAATTAAAAGCTAACTTTTAACTAACTTACCAAAAAACCCAGAATAGTAATTCAATGGTGGAAGAAGAAATGAGCAAGCTACTCTTCTCGAAAAAGAAGAGAAAAAAACACAACAACTAGGGCATACTCAGCAACAAAGCAAGGGGATGCAAAAAAAATTAAGGTATGAAATTATATATAAATTTACATACGCTGGGATTTGAAATGAAAAGATAGCTAGCAACTACATAATTTTCTTTTAGAAAATGATATACAATTTTACTTTTTAAATTTATTTTTTAGACCTAATAATATATAAGTGATATAATTAATTGATAATTAGAGAAAATATTTAAAAAAAAATGTTACCTTTAATATGCTAATTGACTACTACATTATTAAATTTCAAAATTGGATCTAATTTTTTTTTATCTTAGCAACGGGCTTTTGATTTTTGCGCTTCAAATTCTCATCATAATACTATTAGGCAATGATTTCTAACTTTTTTACAAAAATCAATTATAGAATTAAGTATATGAATTAATATGATTTATAAAATTTGTTAGTGAGATCTATTTTAAATATATATATATATATATATATTTGTCTATATATATGTTGTACTTTATAGTTGTTCACATATTCAAAATTTAAAACAAAAAATTTGTTTATATAAGGTAAATTATGGTCTAATAAAGTGAGCATAGAACCCTTCTTCTTCTTTTTTCTTTTTTTTTTCTTTTTTGAATTAGCATCCAAAAAAGGAGCAAGGATTCTCTAGAGTTTTTTTTTTCCTAAAGTTTCCTAGAGTAGTGCATTGTGTGGTTGAGATTTAATGACAAGTCACATCAATTTTTCAGCATTAAATCTCAACCACACAATACACCACTTTAGAAAATTTTAGAAAAAAAACACTCTAGAGGATCCTTGGTGCCAAAAAAGTACACAATCACACTTCTAGAAGTTTATTTGATAAAGTTCAACGACAACGATGTCCGCCAACAAGATTAATCCAACTTTAGAGCCGTCCGATGTTTTCTAGCATTTGTTAATCTGTGCAAATAACAAAATTATATTATAATTCCATATTTGCTCCTTCCTTTTTCTTTCATTGGTTGTTGGCTCTATAAATTCATTCTCACAGTCCCTCCTCTTTGTATCTCTCACTTTTCTGACCATTTCCAGAGAGCATAAGATAAGATGTCCAAGCTCCCTACCCTTTGCATGGTAGCCTCCCTCCTCCTCCTCTTCACGCTAACATGCACCGCTCGGCCAGAGCCTGCATTTCACAGCGTTACTCCGATGAAAACCCAACATACGGTAAGACTGCATATATTTTGTCATTTTTGAATTTCTTTTTAGCAGAAGTTTCGTGCACTGAATCATCTGGTTGGGTTAGTGGGATGTAGCATGGTGTCACCATTACTTTTTATATATGTTTGTTTTTTTTTTCTTTTTATAAAATAATTATTTTCTCTTTTTGTTTTGCAAAGGATGTTGGAGTTGAGGTGGAGGAGAGTTGTGAAGGAGTTGGAGAAGAAGAGTGCTTGATGAGAAGAACACTGGCAGCCCATGTTGATTATATATATACCCAAAAGCAGAAGCCATAAAAATCATCCATTTTCCATGCGGTAGCTAGTAGTAGTTATATTTGTTTGATTCGTGTATTCAATCATTCATAAAAGCTTAAGTGTACAGAAATTTTTTACAAAAGAAGACATAGATGTGAGAAGAACACATCTGTTTCACGTTTATGTCTTGTTCTGTAAAAATTTTCTGTGTTTCTAGCATACCTGTCATAATATATATAGGCTTGTACCTTCTATATGTTCTGTTCTTTTGTGTCTTAGATTAATTTTCAGGTTGGTTATCATTGTTTAGTTACCTTTTAAGTATGTATATAGGCTTGTGCCTTCAATATGTTCTGCTCTCTTGTGTCTTTAGATTAATTTTAAGGTTGTTATCATTGTTTAATTACGTTTTATGTTCTTCATTTTTTCAATATTTTTGTAATATGGTGGCAGTGGTAGTACTCTTGGGAAGTGCAGAGATGGCTTGGATGTTTGCATTTTTTTCACATGAATTGAGGAAATGGTAAAAAAGCAATATAAATAAATTAGAATTATCAATATTTGTATCTCTTAGTGCATGAAGATTCTTGTTTGTGGTACCCTATGTTGTTGGGTCTCTCTTGTCCGGCTTTTCAATAGATTCTATGATCACGTTTGAAGAGAATTGCAACATTGACGGGCCCTCCTACTTATTTTGTTGAGCAAAACCAAATTAAGAGAGAAGAAGATAAAATACAAAAACAGATATAAAAATTATTCATATTATTAAAAGTATAAAAAAAAAAACAGTTTGCTTGTTTTCATTTTTCAGAAAACACTTTTCAGAAAATTTTACATTCTTATTTTTCGTGTTTTTTTGTTTTTACTGAATTTTTTTAATATTTAAAGCAATTTTTTTTACTTTTTAGACACACCTAACATAAATATACCTAAAAAGTAAAAAAATTATAAAAAAAAAATCTTTAAAAATTCACTAAATACCAAAAATATAAAAAAAAAATACAAGAATTCAGTATATTTTTTATATTTTTATGTATTTATTGATTTTTTAAAATATTTTTTCACAAATTTTTTACTTTTTAAATACATCTAATTAAGGAACATCTAAAAAAGTAAAAAAAAAATATTTAAAATTTAAAAAATATTCACTAAAAACAAAAGAATATGAAAATCAAAAAACTCAATTTTTAAAAAACTTAATCCAGAAAACTCAAACCAAACACAATGGTATCATGCTGTTTTGGTAATTTAAGAGAGAAATTAAAAGAAAATAGTAGGTCATCCTCTTCACCAAGGATCCTCTAGAGTGAAATTTCTCTAAAGTTTCCTAGAGTGCTACATTGTGTGGTTGAGATTTACTATTTTTTAAAATATTTTTTCACAAATTTTTTACTTTTTAAATACATCTAACTAAGGTGCATCTAAAAAAATAAAAAAAATGTTTAAAATTTAAAAAATATTCACTAAAACAAAAGAATATGAAAATCAAAAAACTCAATTTTTAAAAAATTTAATCCAGAAAACTCAAACCAAACACAATGGTATCATGCTGTTTTGGTAATTTAAGAGAGAAATTAAAAGAAAATAGTAGGTTATCCTCTTTTATTGTTTGGGAAATATATATAAAGTAGAAAAAAGAAAGTAAATCATTACACTATGAGCAAGAGAGACAAAAGGGGTAATCACTTACTAACTCCACCTCTTTTCTCTTCAATTTTAAAGAGACTCAAAGTTTTAAAATAAAAACTATTTCTTGAATTTTGATAATTTCTTTTCTCCACAATACCCACCTTTAAGCTATCTAAACAAATTATTCGTGAGCAAAAAATTATTTCCTTTACTTTTCTCTCTTGATCACTAATCCAAATGAGTTGAGACAGACTTTGATCAACTTCAAAGTGTAATCCAAGGATAGGAGTTCTTATCTTTACTACCTATTCAATGCAAATACGAGTTCCTGGTGTAGTACTTCGAGTAGGATCTCCCATTTTTGTCTTCAAACTCTCATTTCAAGACAAAAGACCATCAAACTTAAAAGTATAAAAATATCATTGTCCCATTATTTTATATAAATTTATATTTTAAAATTCTATTTATAAAACATTTTTCTTTAAAAAGGAGTTTTCTTTGACCACTCATTCTAGACAAAGAAATTTGTACAATAATAGACTTTAACGTTTAAAAATGATGTTCAAGGTATTTAAAATTTTATAAATTATTTTACTCTACATCTCACCTGAAGTGTGAAACTGACACCATCACACTATATAGGTCCCACATCGAGAAAGAATAAATATAAAATTTTAAATGATTTTGCTAGATGTCATTAAAAGTCAAATAATTCCACATATTTATATATTTTTTACATATATATCAACTGTGGTTAACATTTTCCAATTTTAAACTCCTCTAGAGGTTCTCCAATGATTTGCCATGCCTAAGCCATTTTATAGCAAGTGTGGGCTAAAAGTGTTCTCCAATGATAAGTTTTGGCAGCTGCTATTTTTAACAAATGCCAAAACTTGTGTCAAATATGGTACAAGCTTTGGCAGCTTTAGCTGCCAAGTCACCAAAACCAACTGTTTCCACACTCCCTCCCTTCCTTTCACATCATCCTTCCGAGCAAAAAGTTCCAAAACAAAAGCAAAATTCACCCAAAAATAAATAAATTATGTAGCTAAAAATTTTAGAATCAATAAATCAATTTGAAGTAAAAAAAAAAAAATGTCTTCATTTCAGGAAATTTTTTTTTAGGATAAGACAAATTATCTCAAAATAGGTTCACTTCATAGGCCTATTGGCAGCATTTGACACTCTATTTAGTAACTGAGAAAACAATAGACGAATAGAAACTGGATTCTAGACAACAAATTAACCAAACAAAGCACAAATACAGCATATAGCTTTCACAGTGATGCTAGGGACTCCCAGCACCCCCAGTAGGCCAAAAACAATTTTTTTTTCTTTCCTTCCAATCACGCGATGCCACGTGGCACGGGAAAGGGGGGTTTCACTGGGGGTGGAGGTCTCAAGCTTTATTCATAGCTTTCATGAGATTAAAAAACAGAGTTGAATAAAGACAAAAAGATTTAACCAAACACAGACTTGCTTGGAACTCTATAGATTTGTGGGATTTGAAAGAGGGACCGATGAGAGAGAGTATTGAAAGGGGTTTTAGATTCGGGGTTGAAGACTCGAATAGCTTGATCAAACAACCTTGTGCGGCCCGAGAATCGCAGCATGGATCGGTGACTGATCATGGCTCAATGGTTTTCAGATTCAGACTACGCTGCTTTATCAGAGAAAGAGAGAGAGAAAAAAAAACAGGAGTACTTTTAGGGCTGGTGGTTCCTGTGGTTGTGGTGATGAAAAAGGTGAGAGACAGATGCAGACGGTGAGAGAGAAGTAGAGAGATAAAGACTGGTTCTGGAATGAAGAGAAATAAAGAGATAGATAGACAGAGAACAGACTTGGGAGATGCTTCTCAAGATTGGTCCAGATGCTTCATCTGAATCGCTGGATTATAAATAATCCAATGGTACTATTTGGAATATATATAGGTTTGAGCAACGACTCTTTTTTTTCTTCTCTCAAAAGTTTGAAACGACTCTTTTTAACAGTTATAAATTAAATAGAAAAAAGAAAGTCATATTTTTACTCCCTATAACTATAAACAACCAATAAAAATTTGAATTTACAAGTCTCAATTTACATAATATTTTTCTTGTTTGTTTTTTTTGGAATCAATATGGAAGGTTCATAAAAAATAAATAAAGGAAAATCATTCACAACTCAAGAAGATGTGGCAATTTGTAAAGTTTGGTGTCACATTATTAAAGACCTAATTGTTAGCAATTCGCAATCGTATGCTAAATTTTAGACAAAAATTTTTGAAAATTATTACTCACTTTAGAGTGATCAATCAAGAACACAAGTGTCTACCTCACCTCGATGGGATGTAATTATGAAATGTTACAATAAATTTTGTAGGTGTTTAGCTCAAGTCGAAGATTCACACCCAAGTGAGATGTCTCAAGTTGATATAACAAGATTTCATTTTCATTTATTATGTTAGTTTTTTTATTTTCTCTTATATAAAAATTAGCTAATTAATTAATTTAATATTTTATTGATACATATGCTTCAAGCAAAACTTTTATACCATTAAGAAGAAAACAAACATTTTGCTTTTGAACATTGTTGGCTAATTTTGCAAAACAATATCAGGTAGTAAGATGTAATTCCTACAAACACAGTGAAATCAAGGATACATATACCGTTTTTCCTAATTCAGCCCCCAAATCCCCTAAGGATAACAGCATTTTTCTTGAAGACGATAACAGTTCAAGTGTTGATAATAATTCAATCGGTGAGAGTAGTGTCTCTGCAAAGGATAAAAGGCCTATAGGTAGAAAATCTGCAAAAAAATTGCTTCAGAAAAGTCAAGTTGTTAAAGTTAAAGTCCACAAATTTAACAATTTGTTGGAGACATTTAACCAACACCTTACTGAGAAATAAATAAATAAATAAACTGAAAGAGAAAAAAAAAAGGGTTCAAGCATTGCAGGAGATGAAATAACTTGAGATAAAAAAGGAAGAACATTTGTAGGAGATGAGAGAACTTGAGATAAAAAAGGAAGAACATTTGATAATGACAATGAGCATTTCTCATTTAAACCCTCAGACGAAAACGTATTACATAATGCGCAAAAATGAGATTTTCGCCAAGTGATCCACACATGTCAATAACCCAAATTACTATTTTTCCCTGTCTCCTGATGAATAATTACGGAATAATGTATTTTTTAATTTTGCAATGTCATTTATTTGTCAATATAATTTTTGTTATTTCTTTTTAAATATAATGTTTATTTTGCAATGTAATGTAGTGGTCCATGTAATTTTAATATAGTTAATAATTTTTTTTTTTAAAGTTTTGTAGTCGTATGTTTTTTTGGTGGAGTGAATTATATAATAAAAAAATCAATTTTTTATATTTGTCTAGTCGGGTACAATGTAAATATTTGATTTTAAAAAAAAAAGTTATAAAAAGGTCACAAAAGACAAAAAAATAAATAATAAAAATATCACTAAAAAACCTATATTCAAACAACACCACCTACAAAATTAGAGAGAAAGTTTATTGAAATTTACTAAAATAACATGTGACTATTAGAGCGCCATTGCTATAACTTATCAATTTACTACTATTTATTGTTAAATTATAATAATAACAATAAGTGTGTTTGGTTTGAGTTTTTTGGATTAATTTTTTTGAAAATTGAGTTTTTTGGTTTTCATATTTTTTTGTTTTTAGTGAATATTTTTAAAATTTTAAACAATTTTTTTTTTTTACTTTTTTAGATGCATCTTACTTAAATGTATCTAAAAAGTAAAAAAATTGTG